GAAAAAGCCCTATGCACTAGGAACGCTAGGACTTAGGATTGGGGCTTGACCAAGGATTCTTTGAAATGAGCTGGTCCGACATGACTTAATTTTGTGAGGAGTAAATACAAGCTTGAGTCGGACTTGATTTATGTCAAAAAATTAGTCCATGAGATCATTTTGCCATGCTGCTTGTATTTTCACTTTCATTCTTATCATTTTGCCGTGCTTGATGTATTTTCACTTTCATTCTTTGAAAGAGTTAGAAAACGATCTCTTTCTTTCTATCTTCTTAAAGGGCAACCATGTAGGGTACTAGTATTTTATGCGATGTTTTGCAAATGCAATTGTAGGGTTGTCCATGACATAGACCCTTAAGTTTCCTACTACCTTCCCCCAAATAAAATAAAGCTAGTCACACAAGAATAATGCTTTGTTTTCTTCTTTTGGTACAAGGAAAAAACAAAAAAATCCTTATTCTTCCTTTTGTTTAAGCGAGTTACAAAAGCATTTCAAATTATTCTCGTTCAATAAAGTATTCCAAGTTAAGTTCACATTGTAATTCTCGGATCTCCTCCATTAATAAACCTTCCATATAATCAAATTCACCGATTGTTTAACACCTCAAATTTAATATTTAAACGTGACTTTACTAACTATAAATAATTAAAAAAAAGACTGACTATATATATGACAGGTATTTTTTTGAAATTAATGAGTGTATCAAAAATCAAACTAAGAACGATTCAAAATTGTAATCAAATTTCATGACTATATACATCTTGTGGTGTGATCTGATTTTTTTCTTTCGGTTTAACTTGTTAAATAATCGGCCAAAATTGACCATTAATAAAAGTTTATTAATGCAAGGTCCCATATATCTCAACCTTCAATAAATTCTTACTTATTAATATTGGCAGGCAGAAACTTTTTGTTAAATTGAGTTATCATGTCAATTGTTTTTTATTTTGCCAAAAAATTAGATTGGTTGTTATTTGGCATAATAGGTATATTAATACTCAAAGTTCAACTGCATAATAGAAGTTTAAGATTCTTAAGAATAATTCATTACATAAAGACTAAAATTGGAGTGTCCGATGAGTAAAATTCTTAAGAATAACAATCTTGCTGTAGAAAATGAATTGTTATTTTAATGTTATCTATTACTTTCACGTCTCAAAATTCACTATTGTCAATTGGTTGAAGTAAAGACTAGTGGGTTAGTCTGGAGAATCAGATGCTTTTTAATAAACGTGTCATACATGATTTCAAGTACTGTTATATTATCTAATTTATTATCTTGCTAATCCTCTCCTAATATTGTATGTATATAAATACATCGCTACATGTTTAGCCTCTGTTTGGGAAGATAGGTTGGGTTGGGTTGGGTTGGGTTAGGTTTGAGGATATTTAGCTACAAAAAGACAAAATAGGCTTTTTAGTCTAATAAGACAAAATATTACATCTAACATATAATCATTACATTCTTTCTCTTGTAAAAAGTCAAAAAAGCCAAAAAATCATTCACAAATGCATTACATCCAATTCATTCGCATTATCTCCATAATCTTAGATTTCTGTGAAACAATTGTATTTAGGATATATTACAGTCAATCGCCTTAACTCATTTGCACTTTGTCCCATGAATTTCAAAATTCAACAATTAATTATTTCAAAGTATTATGTTATTATAATTAATCCTTCTTGTTATGATTTTGTTAGAAATTTACAAAAAAAAATCATATTATATAAAGCACACGACACATTTATTAATTTTTTAAGACAATAATACACATTATTGATTTTTAGGATAATAATACTTTAATATGGTGATTCTATTTACACTTTGTCTCTTTTATCTTAGTGATAAAGTGCAAACGAGATTATCAGATAAGAATACTTTTATATCCCTTTGATTTTTTTTTTTAAATTTTTAATCGAATCCTAATAAAAATAAAGTTAATTGTAATATAATACTTTGAGAGAGTTAATTATTGAGTTTTAAAATTTAAAGGGACAAAATATAAATGAGTCATAATGGGAGGTGTATTGTAGAATTTAAGGGGTAATTATAATTTATCCTTATATTTAAAAGAAAAGTCTCATCTTGGGGAAATTCTACAATACACCTCCCTTGAAAGGGGTGCACGATTTGCGTTCATAGTTATGCCATTTTTTTTCTTTAGTTACGACAATATTTTAATTATGATTTGAGATCTTTCATTGTACCTCATGTGGTGTTTCGGTCTCATTTGGGAACAAACTATTTTAATAACTTTTTAATTTTTACAAAAAGTTGTGCAAAAAAATAAAAAGAGTGATGTGACCATTTATAGTAACTTTTAATTTTTTGGCCAAAATGCATAGTTGACAAACGATGCCTTAGTTATATTTAAGGCAAATTACACTAACGGTCCCTATAGTTTTGCGCTTGTGTCACTTTGATTCTTACCTTTTCAATTGTGACACATTTGACTTTAAATTTTTAATTGTGTTCCAAATATTGAAAATACCATTGCTCAATTTCAAGGGTAAAGTCGTCAATTCGATAAATTATAAACTAATTTGACAAAAATAAATGTCAAAAAAATATTTTAAAATTTTTAAAAATTATTTCTATCCACCAAAGATAAAATTATGTAAAATTGATAAATCTTTTATACATTTATTTATTTATTTTACCAAATTAATTTTTATTATGTATTTGGATGATAATAATGTAGGGTGGCTGATTTATTGTCATTAAATTAGTTTATATTTTTTCAAAAGTCAAATGTGGCAACAACTTTGATATTATTATTAAACTAATCTACTAAATCAAAAAAATTTAAAACTAAAAACATTTCATATATTGTGCCTGTTTGGTGCAGCTTAAAAGCTGCTTATTTCAGATTTCAGCTTAATTTAAGCTATTTTGATGTGTTTGGTTTAGCTTATAGCTTATAGCTTATAGCTTTTTGAAAGTCAGAAATCAGCTTATTCTTTGAGTGGGGCAGGAGATACTTAATTTATAAGTCAGAAATCAGCTTATAGTTACAAGCTATAAGTTGTTTAGGCATAAGCTATAAGCACTTTCCCACAGCTCTATCAAACAGGGCCATTAAATATATCGATTACACATTAAAAGCCTAATAACCACCCATTACATGATTATCATCCAAACACATAATAAAATTTAAATGGATAAAATAAATAAATAAATAAATGTGTAAGAGATTTATCAATTTTACATAATTTTATCTTTGGTAAGTCAAAATAATTTTTAAAAATTCAAAAATATTTTTTTGACATTTATTTTTATCAAATTAATTTATATTTTGTTAAATTAATTTATATTTTATCAAATTAATTAACAACTTTGTCATTGAAATTGAATAATGACGTTTTTAATTATCTTTATGTAGAACGATATTTAAAATTTACGATCAAAATATGTCACAACTAAAAAATTTTAAGAGTGATATGAGATGTCTTAAATAAGTGCACTTTTTAATTTTTTATAAAATATGAGTTGAGTTTGAATTGGATTTGAAGTAATGTAGTAGAGAAGTGATGTGATTTAAATAAAATAATGTGACTTAAATTAAATAATAATTTTTTGTGATTTTAATTTTTTTAATACATGACAAATAAGACCTGAATCAAAATAATACGAAATTTTAAATTATAAAAATTATTAGTATAATTCGCCTCCCCGTTTGTTTTGGGTTATAGCAAGGGGACTAGGATTACTAATACCTTGGGATTAGTATATGGGGTGTTTGTTTTGAGAGATAGCCTTGGGACTATTAATACCTTGGGACTAACTAATACCTTGGTATTACTAATACCTTGTTTGTTTTGAGAGATAGGGAGGGTATTACTAATACATTGGTATTACTAATACCCTTGGGGAGGGGATTCATAGTGAGGAGGTAGAGATGGTATTAGAAAAATAGTGAGGGGATTAGAAATTTTTTTATTTTTTTTTATTTTTTATATATTGGAAAATTTTTTTAAAATATAATTTTTAATTTTTTATATTTTTTTATTTGTTTTATTATTTTATATAAAAATAATTTAACAATTCCTCACTACTAATCCCCTCACTATCAATCCCCTCACTACTAATCCCCTCACTATCAATCCCCTCACTAACAATCCCCTCATTATTAATCCCCTCACTATCAATCCCCTCCATTCTATCTCTGAAAACAAACGACCCTCACTAACAATCCCTTCACTATTAATCCCCTCACTATCAATCCCCTCCATTCCATCCCTGGAAACAAACGGGGCATTAATGCGCATACCATAACTTTTCCCCTCATCTTAAAAATCTCCTGTTTTTGTTTTTGTTTGTTTTGTTTTATTTGTTAGTTGTGTTTATATTGTCCAAAAATTAATTTTGCGAAGGTACAGTGATACGAAGCTAGGAGAGGACGTACCCCAATCATCGTCACGTGGCACCTTTTACCTCACCCACCTGTCACTCTCCTACTGAGCCGGCCTCGTAACCTCTCTTTTAATCCCCTACACCCTTCTCACATACAATCAATATCTCTAGAGAGAGAAAATAAACAATATAGAGAGAGGAGAGTGGTATTAGGGACGTAATATTATATGTACTAATTAATATATTATTATTGATGACATTTATTATATAAGTTATAAATATTTAAAATTATACAAATAATATTATATAATCTGTTAATATATTAATGTGTACATTAATTAATACATATAACATTATTCAATTTAAAAACAAAATTTATTAATTGATACATCGTGTAATAATAAAGTTTAAAGAGTTGAAAACATAACATACTTCAATAACATGATAGTTACTGTAACTTGAAAACAAAACTCATTTCAATAATTTTATTAATCATTATGTTATAAATTATCACATATTTATATTCTAAAATTACTCAATCATAATATAAATTATCACATATTTATATTCTAAAATTACTCAATCATAATATTATAAATTATCACGTATCTAATAATTACTTGTATTTGGAACAAGCAAACTCAACCGCCTCATATTTAAACCCTTCACACCACACCAAAAGCTCCCCAATGAATCATCACTACGTCGTTGCGTATTGACCACCACTGCCACCTCACCTCCCACCGCCCTAGCTCCGCCTCTCTCCTTCCGCCGGAATTCCTTTCCTCTCCGGCTGCGCCACCATTTCCTTGTTCCATATATCTTCTCTCTCTCTCTCTCTCTCTCTCTCTCTCCTCCCACCCCCCCCTCTCTCTCTATATCTATCTGCTATATCTATAATCATGACTCCAAAATCAATACATACACGCTAGCTAACCTCGCCGCCTCGATTTCCATAGACACGAAGGAATGAAAAATCTTCGATCGGATCCGAACCACGTCGTTGTGGTTTGAAATTATGCATCCTTTTTGCTGCGTATCAACCGTTCAAGACCGGAGCTCCGGGAATCCGCCGGAGCCCCTACCTATGTCCTCGGAGATCTCGTCCGGATCCAGTGCCAGATCCGACACGGTTAAACACACACACAACAATAACAACAACAACAACAACCACCATGTCAGCCAGAGGATGGTGGCGCCGTCGTCTACGGCGGCGGAGCACAGCGATCAGATGGAGGTGAAGATCAATGATATAGTGGGGAATGGAATCTCTGGAATTCTGTATAAGTGGGTGAACTACGGGAAAGGTTGGAGACCTAGGTGGTTCGTGTTGCAAGATGGTGTTCTTTCGTATTATAAAATTCACGGACCTGACAAGATTGTGGTCAGTCAAGAGACTGAGAAGGGATCTAGAGTCATCGGAGAAGATTCGCTCCGCCGAATTTCTCGTCACAGGAATGCTGACGTTGGTGGCTCTCTTCTCCGCCGGAAACCTTTTGGTGAAGTTCATCTCAAGGTCTAAAATCTCTCTAATTTCTATTTGTATTTATTTACAGATTAAAGTTTGATTCTTTTAATCCTCTTTTGTCTATCTGATCAACCCTTATTGATATTGTTTTTATAATTATTCAAGGTCTATGTCCCCATCCAAAACCAATTTTGTCTCCTTGTTTTAATGGGTTTTTGTTTTGGGGGTCCCGATTCTGATGCAATTCAGTCTGTCTTTGATTGTTTCTTAATGCCAATAAATGAAGAAAAAGCTCCCCTTTTCAATATTTCATTTTGTTTTTTTTCTTTTGATTAATCACTAGACTTGTCTATGTTGAATTCATTTTTATTGGTGTATTCACAGGTTTCATCGATACGGGAGAGCAGGTCAGATGACAAGAGGTTTTCTATTTTTACGGGTACTAAGAGGCTGCACTTGAGGGCTGAGACTCGAGAGGATCGAGTGGCGTGGACGGAAGCATTGCAAGCGGTGAAGGACATGTTTCCCAGGATGTCCAACAGTGAACTAATGGCTCCTGTGGATAATGTTGTTGTGTCAACAGAAAAGTTGAGGCTGCGATTACTGGAAGAACATGTGAGGGAAGAAGCGATCCAGGACAGTGAGCAGATTATGAGAAACGAGTTCGCAGCTCTGCAGAATCAGCTTATGGTGCTTAAACAGAAGTACCGGCTCCTCCTCGACACGCTGCGGCAGTTAGAGGTAAATGTAATGATTAGTAGAAAAAAACCACGCTAATCGTATTCAGAATTCTCTACAATCCTAGTGCTTCTGAAATTTCCCAAATTAATTGCTCTGCAGCTGAAGAATTGTGCCTGCTTTGTTGTTTTTGATTGTAGAGTTGTAGCTTCGGTTCTTCTGAATTGTTTTGTATAGATTGTTAGTTGGGGAGTAGGGTGCTGAATTTGTGTATTTTTTAACAAAATTATTTGAAGGAATTCATTGAAGACAAATGAGTGTTCGTTGATGCTGTTTATGTTGGGTTTTGAAACTGATGCTTGGGTTGGTTGCTCTGTTTTTAATGGAATGGCAATTAACTTTTTATGCTCTGTTTTGATTGTGGAGTCTAGAAAAGTGGCATACTTTGTTTTTTAACTTTTTGGAAATTGATATTGATTAAAGTCCTGTTTATGTTATCAGTTGCTTTAGTGATGACTTGTTGGGAATGTTTCATGCTAACCTCTGCGGTTCCGAAGGACACATGCAATATTGAATCACGAATTTGGGTCTTAGAAGTCCTTGCGGATTACTCTTAAAACATAACATAGTATTTCTTACATGCTTACTTGTGGCTGCTGCTAACCAAAATCTAGAAATAGGTTTTTTTTTTTTTTTTTTTTTTTGTGTGTGTGTGGATAATTTACAACTGATCTACAAGTATGATGTTGCTGCAAATTTAGAACATCTTGCAAAATTAGGTGGAGCGCTTGACTAAAACTAGAAATAGGTTCTTTTTTCTTGTTCACTTATTTGCATACTTAGGTGCTTCGATATGGTTCATGAATGAAGTTTCTACAATTTCTGTTTCTTTAGAATTACAGACATTCATAGGTCAATAAAATCAGGAGTTCTCCTAAACTACTTTATGAATTATTTTATCAGTGTTGACAAAAATATTGAGTTGTAAAAGTCAGAACTTATTATTTTGCTTTGGTGTACCTTAGTTTTATGAGTGACATGACTGGCGGAAAGTAAGAAATGTATAGGAAACTTAGAAGCTATATAGGCAGAATATTAAACCAGTGAATTGAAAGAAACAAAAAAGTGGTTGGCAGCAGTATTGAATTTGGGGATTGTTTACCAGTGTATTGCAATTCTGTAGTAGGAGGCTGAAGAGTTTTTTGATGGAAGGTAGTTATTGTCTCATTAAATATCAAACACTTCAAGTTATGATTTATAACTGCTTGCTTTGTTTTTGTTACATGTTGATTTTAATAAATATATTCTAACTGAACTTCAGATGCTGTATGGGTGCTATTGTTGATAATTGGCCCTTTGGGTTTTTTTTATTTTTATTTTTATTTTTTTTTATTTTGGTGAAGTGAACCCTTTCGTTAATAATAATTAGAATAACCTATTATTGGGTTTCCTTTTCTATTAATGAAAGACGGTCCTATAATCAAGCTACATGATGTTTACATACGTGTGTATGTATAGATTTCTATTTTCATAACTGTCAATTTCAATTTATAATTTTTCTGATAAGTGCTATCAAAGAATTAATAATCAATAGAGTTAGCTCCTGTCACCTATGTTACATGGACTGTTCAACATATATCAAATATCTATGTCGGACACCCGACACTTGGACAAGGGTATGTGATTTGTGCCTGATACTTCCTATCAGACACTTCTTATATATTTATATTTAATACTATCATTATATGTATATATTGTTGTATAATTGCTATAAATTATCTTTTTGATATTGTTGCATATAACATCAATTTATCTAACATAATAGATTAAAATTATAGAAATATAATAATTTTTTGGGGAGTCTGTGTATCCTTAAATATGAGGTTTAATGGATCTAACATCTAGATACACACCCACAAATAAATAAAGAAAAGATAAAAGATAAAAGAAAAGATAAATGAAATAAAGAAAAAAAGAAACAAAGAAACGAAAACAGAAGTAATAGGGGTTGTCACATTACAAATGTGTTGGGTTAGAAATGGTGAGATGTATGTTGACTGTGTAACTTGTACTATTATTCAACCATTGCCAGTAGCCTTAGGATGTTTAGAAGATTTTGCTAACAAGAATTATGAATCTCAAATGACATTCTTGATGTGTGAAATGCCTCTGTACTTATCAATGCCTGTCACCCACGAACAGCATGCACAGTGAGAAAGAGGAAAATTATCCTTTTATTTCATGAAACTCTGGAGAAAAGTAAATTTTGGTGTGTCATTGTTCTGGTTTCTAAATTGGGCATCGCGTGTTGTTTGTAGCAAACTACTTGTTTTGTTTTTGTTTTTTATGATATCTTAAAATGGACTTTAATAATATTAATGGTGGAATGATTAAACCTACTATGCAATGGAATGGAAGTAGCCTTTTGTGCTCTATGTGCATAACTTGTTCTGTAAGTGGTTCAACATACAGTCTTGTTAAAGTGATGCTTGGAAATGTGCAAGTAGGCAATGAAATCAGTGAGGAAGCTAGATGGGTTGCAATTTAGTTGAGTGACATTTATAATTGGTGATCGCGAGGGTGGTGCAATGCATCGAGGGTCCATGCATTGGTTATAATGATGATTTGGTAGCAGCAATTGTCACGGGCACCAGTAGTAGTTTCAGCGGAAGGGGGTGGATGGGGTAGTGCTGGAGTCTCTGGCAAAATCAGTGATAATTGCATTGCCTGTTTTAATGGCAACAGTTGGTGCACCAACAATTGTTTTGTGCTTTATGATATATCAAAAATGAAATTGCTTTCATGTTTAGCGAGTCATGTGTGGTAGTGGGGACAACAGTGACAGCAGATAGTAATGTAGATGGTGGCTTTGGTGATGGTGGCATGGAAGTGGTGGAAACAACAAGGGTGGTAATTGTGGCAAGGTGGCTTTACTAAGATTCAAGCATTTGACCTAAGTGAGTTTTTATTTTATTTTATTTTCTTCTTTCTTTTTTTGTTTTTTTTGGGGTTTTCTTTTTCTTTCATATGTGAAGAATGATTAAAAAGTCAGTTTTAAAAATATATGGTTGAACCCTATGTACATTTATCTATATCTATGTAAAACTTGATTTTCTATTGATAATGTATTTTCTGCCAAAGAGCTGAAGAATCTTAACCAAGAAAGTAAATTGGATTGGTGTCCTGCAGGAACATATGGTTGTCAATTTCTAGAATAGCTATATTAGTTTATTATCCTTTCAATGAGATGAAGGAAAACGCTGATTTGGAATTATGCTTTTGTGGCAATTAGCATCATGAGATTGTTTAATTTTCATTATGGGATCTTTCATTGGAGTGTGGTTAGCTTGTGTGAACTGCAATATTGTTAAATTATATTAATATAACTAAACCTTCACATTTAATGTTGTAGGCTTTCTCTTGTTTATGTTTTCAGTGGTGTGAATTACTTTTGTTCAACATGTAAATGCCTATATGATTGATTCTGTCATGCTTTTTCCCCCAAAATTTCTTGAGGAAATTGTCTTAGTTGAAAGCTGAACTGCCAAACCAATAATTTCATTTAGTATGCAGTGCATCCTGAATCATTGCTATTTTACTGATTCCTACCCTGCCGCTATTAAACTTTACATGTCAGTCTTTTTCTTCCCTTTGTTAAGTATGAACGGGTCATATTCATCCTGCATTGCAATGCTTTCGCAATCTTGTTCCTTTAAATATCACTAGCAAAAACAAAGAGAGTGAATGACTGACCTACTAATGATGTATGAAATGACCCATGGGGATTTGAAATATTATCTTTCAATTTTTATTTTTCAGTCACAAATTTGAAGATGTGGTGGATCTGGCTCAGTTTAAGCTTATTGCATAAGAAAATAAAAGAAAATGAGCTATACCACTCTGAATACAGTTAATGTGCAGTTATGGGAAATTTTAAATCACTGGGACATTGTTTTCTTAATTTCATGAGGGTTTAATCCTAGGTACGAACTATATTTTCGGCAACCTATTCTAAACTACAATTCGCGGTTTAGTAACTTTGTCATCTTAGAAATTGCCTATTTTCTAGGGTTTGTAGTTTGCTTTTGCATCTTGAAGTTAGTTTGAGGTCTGATCTGGCTTGAGCCATTGGGATTTACCCCATATGTCAATTTGTATTTGTTTTTTGTTTCCTAAATAAGTAATGCAGTTCCATTTTCAGTCTGTTCAATTAATACTTTTTTACTCCTTTTATCGTTTATGATTTCTTTCAGACAGTTCTAATGCTTATACACCACCAATAGTGCTTGAAGTTCTGGATATGCTTTCTTCCTCTTCCAAATTATTTTGTGTTTTGCCATTGTAAATGGCATATGTGCTAATTACTTTGCAATTAATGACTGATCTATAAAGCAGTTCAAACAGATCCATGGGTACATTTTGAATACTGCGAAAACTGCATGTAAAATTCTGATAATTATCCATACATTTTACTTTTCCACAAGTATAGCTGTTTCCTTGAGTTCATGACATTATACCACCATGTGTACATTTCTATTGATAATCTACATATCTATGTGTATGATTGTGAGTTTGAATTTCTATACAATGTTCAAATTTCCTCTATTTTTAATGCTCTGCTGAGAAACTACTAAGCAAAGCTGTTTTTTGTAGACAGAAAAAGTTGATCTGGAGAATACAGTAGTTGATGAGAGCCAACGACAATTGATGGAGCAGGGCCCTTCGTCTAGGTTAAGGCAGGACAAATCCAGTGGTATAATTTACAAAATATTCTTCCCTATTTTTTTAATGGTCAAGTGATGGCTGTATTGGCTTTTATCTGATCTGGTCACTGTACAACTCCACCAAGATGCTTGAATATATTTAATGTGGCCCAGTGTCACCCGAAAATGCTACCCCCTTAGTGATTTATGCTTTGGAACGTACGCTACGAAATGTGGTACACTTTTGTTACAAAACGGTGAATCTAACAACCCAAAATGATCCCATATTATTTTTAAGGTTTTCATCATAGGTTCTCTTTAATAGAGAAAATATCAAATATAATAAACTAAAATCTAATAGAGTGGAGTTTTGGATTGAAAAAATGTAAAACACTAGATCATAATGCTTATAGAATTGTGTAGTTAGACAATTAATTTAAAGGAAAATGCACTATAATATATTGGATGTCAAATTAAGAAGTCTACGCCTATCGTACTATATTTTAGAGCATGTGGTGTACTACATTCCTGTTCCTGTGCTTCGTACCGAAATGATCCACGTTCCGCGTTGGCATATTTTCTGTGCATTGACAAAAATGCCTCCCATGATATAGCAGAAAATGTTAATTTGGGTCAATTTTGTCAATTCACGTTACAATTGCTCTGGCAATACGGCCACCCTTTTAATTATGAGGGCTGCTGCTATATATCACCAGTTTTTGTCACCGTTTTGTATCACTGGGTACATGGCAAGATATTACTTGCTAACTGCTCAATAATTATCTTCAAGTAAGGAAACCAATATTAAGCATCCATGTAGTTAAGTGATACAAAATGGTGACAAAAAACCTTTGACATTTAGCATTTCTTTAATTATTGCTTGTTTGCCCTTGCAGTAGGTCACCCCTTTAATTATTGCGACTTTTCCTGTTGGTTAAACTAATGTATTAGCTTATTTATGAGACCCCTTTAATTATTGCGACTTTTCCTGTTGGTTAAACTAATGTATTAGCTTATTTATGAGCTAATGTGTTATTTAGTTATAGGAAAAAATGAAAGAAATGAAAGGAAAATTTTGAAAAAAGAAAGCAATTCTTGGCTGCTGAGGATATGATTTTGTTCCCTTTGTATCTTAATGGTTGCGTTAACCACTAGAACCATTACATATGGTTGTGACTAATTTTTAAAACCTATGTTAATAATTGATGCCATTAAAGCTATCATATGCCTTGCATGTGACAACTTGAGCATTTAGGAAGTTGATAACTCAAGTGCCTCCTCTATGAGGATATACATACGACATGTGCACGTGCACCAAAATTAAGTTATGCAAATAATGATAAAGATGGAACTATAGTTACTATTTATCATCTCCATAAATGGAACTGTAGTTCTTGTCCAAAAGAACTGCCAAGACTTTTATGGTGATCTAAGCTACAATTGTGGGACTTGGTAGCTATTAATTATTATTAAGGATAAAGATGACAATTGATATGTGGAAGACAGAGTAGATGATATGTGGAAGACATAGAGGCTATCAAGTATACACAATGTGCTTGTTAACCTAGGGTACAAATGATGGATGACAGAGATATCACTAGGTTTGTGTAGTGTTGTTCACATAAAAAATCAAGCTTTAACTATCTTTCTTTCCTATGTCCGCAACAACAAATAAAATAATACTTTATGTGTAGGTTTTGTTTATGTTGCCCAAGCTTGTGCATCATGGGGTTGTATCTGTGATGGAGTGTAATGGGCTAATGAACTTTTCAATATAATAAGCAAATGATTAATAAGCAAATGTTGCTGAATAAAGATTTTTTTCTAAGAGATTGTGTCTGAGTCGTCTATAGTTTTAGTTTTCTGGGTGTCAGTAACATGTGCCAAATAACCCTAGCAACCCTTTCTAAGTAGCTTTTTTGCCTCCATTGCTGATATAAAACATTTAGGAGTCACACTTGTATCTCCATAAAATTTGAACTCGGGTTCATTAGTATCTGAAATACTACTCTTTTTTTGAAACAATCTATACAAGCATGATATGCCACCAGCCATTGTGTTTTCCATTTTATGTTAAAGCAAAAGGCACAAGGTTGTAGTACTACTACTACTACCGCTGCTGCTACCACTTTTACTGCTGTTACTAGTACTTCTTTTTGCTGGTTGCCATCTGGAGATTTTCTTTTGTGATTTCTTATTTTCTTATCGAAGTTCTGTTCTTCTGCCAGAAGGAAGTCCAAGTGAGTCTGAAGATGACAATGAGAGGGTTGCAGAGGAAGAAACAGATGATGATGACAATGCATTTTTTGATACTCGTGATGTTCTCTCATCAAGTTCTTTTAAAAGCAGTGGGTCTGATTTGCGAACATCGTCTTTCTCTTCTGATGAAGAGCTTAATGCTTTTGAATCTGAAGATGATGTTGACCCTTCCATTAAATCTGTTGGAAAGAATTTTCCTCATATTAAACGTCGTAAGAGATTGCCTGAGCCTGTTGAGAAAGAGAAGGGAGTAAGTCTCTGGTCAATGATTAAAGATAATATCGGGAAGGACCTGACAAAAGTTTGTCTCCCTGTCTACTTTAATGAACCACTCTCTTCACTGCAAAAATGTTTTGAAGATTTGGAATATTCATATCTCATTGACCGGGCATATGAATGGGGAAAAAGGGTAAGTTTGTGGTGAGAACATAAAAATAATTATAACAGTTTTTTTCATTTTTGAAAATAGTTGCATTTTGTTTTCATAATCTCTTTCATTTCACTATATCTCCGTAGCTTGATTAATTTCTATCCAATTTGCTACAAGTTCTGGAATGGTAAAGGAGGAGAGAATCGGAAGGTAGCAGATGGAGTTGAAGATACAGAGGGGCAATTGAGCAAAGGGAGTGGTGGATTTGTAGAGGTATCTCTTAGTCATTGTGTGGTGGTTAGAGTTGGAGAAGAAGGGGGATAGGGGAGGGAGCATGTGATGCACGTGTGGTGGCAAGTAGGGATGGAGCATGTCGGGAGAAAGGAGGGTATCAGGGATTTTTTTTCTAGAAGGGGATTTTTGAATTTTAAAAGCGAAATTGATGTTGTGAGCTGTTGTAGTAGTGGGCTGGCCCATAGGGTATGGCCATAGTTTAGGAGAGGTAATGGTAGATGGGTTGACCTGATGGTTTGTCCTACACCTTCGCCTGGAAGGTGGGAGAGGGCCTCACCAAAGACTATGATTAGTTTTAGAGCTAAACGAAACAACACACCAAATTAAAATTTTGTATCTTTGCTCCATTATATCCTTGGTTACATGATCATATATATTTGCCACTTCTGTTCCTTTTTATTTTACTATCAGCATCTTATACATCACTTTTTGGGTTCCATACATAAAATGTTGACTAGGTTTTTTTTTCTTTAAGTGATATTTATAAAATAAAGTCAATGCCAGTACAAATCACTCATTTAGACAGTTGAGAAATTTGCATACATGGTTGTACATTTTGTTGGCTGCCTGTACATAATTGATAATATTTGGACCATATAGCCTTGAAAATTCAATTGCTGTTAAATGAAATCACCCCCATCGTGAGCTTCCTCTGATGAGTGAAATCATTTCAGTTTCTGTTTGTTAGTTCCTAATCCCCTTGATTGAATTTTTAGGGTAACAGCCTTATGAGGATTTTAAATGTTGCGGCATTTGCTGTATCTGGATATTCTTCTACTGAAGGAAGACATTGCAAGCCATTTAATCCATTACTTGGGGAGACGTATGAGGCAGACTATCCAGACAAAGGCCTTCGATTTTTCTCAGAAAAGGTTTCACTTTTATACCTGAAGTTAATATGGATTTTTATGATAAGTAAATTTAAGTTAATATCTTTTTCTTGTCTATTTTGTATTTTCCTACCATTGCATTTTTTGTTTTTAAAGAGAGTACAATATCATGTTAGATTTCAATTTGTCCACTGTTTATCAGCCTGGATCATGACCTTGAAATATATATTATATCTAAAACATACATAGTGCAGATTTATGATTTAAATTCTAATAAAGTTAGTCCTCTACGCTAAACGTTCATATATTCACAGTACCGTATTACTGAAGTTCCAAATTATATACATGAAATGTGTAATTTTGCTTTGCAAGTTCTAAAATTTATTCCACAACAGTCATCAAGTGCATGCTGTGTGGGAAAAGGGGAGGAGGCTCTATACATGTCATTTTGACATCTTGACTAATTGGGAAAATCTACATTCCAAACTCTTATATTTTTTGTCAAGGTAAATTTTTTGAAAGAAAAAACTACATTGATGTGCTTTTAAAAATTGAGTCCTATATTTAAGAGGGGAACAAATAAAGACAAGGAAATGTCAAGGTAGTTGAAAGAAATTAAATTTATCTAATTTTGCATGTCGAATTTCCAAACTCTTTTTTCTTTCCTGGAGGTATCTAAAATCTGATTTTGCCAAGGCACTGATATGATGTCGTTCATATTTACCACAGGGATGGGTGTGACTGTTTTGAGTTTATACTACTTTTGCCCAGGACTATAAGGATGATCAAAGAATACAGGACAGTGGAGGATTAGGTCATTGGTGCCATGAAAGTGGCAAAATCAGTGTAGTAAATTAGATCCTGAACCATTGTGGCTGTAATTAAGGGAAAAAATAGTAAGAAAAGCAGAAGAAAATTAAAGGGTAGCGTGTTCTGGCTATCAGAAAAGACTCCTCAGGGTCCCAAGATTGTTCTTATGGTTTTTTTTTTTTTTAAATTTTTTTTTATGCCCTGCAGTTATATTCTTTGTTTTTTTGGTTAGCAATAAATGTCGTGCAAACTGAGATGTTGTGTGTGTTTTTAGCTTTGGCATTGTATCAAAACTTCTTGCTGCTAAGAGTTAAGTAGCTAATGGTGATTTTATTTGCGCCAGGTCAGTCATCACCCAATGACTGTAGCATGCCATTGTGAAGGTACTGGATGGAAATTTTGGGGTGATAGCAATCTCAAAAGCAAATTTTGGGGTCGCTCAATTCAGCTTGATCCTGTTGGTGTTTTGACCTTGGAATTTGATGATGGAGAAGTTTTTCAATGGAGTAAGGTATGACCCCCAAAGCATGCAACTATGGGGCCAAGTTATTGTGCTTTCATTTTTATTTATTTTTATGTAGTTTCATTGTAAAATCAAATTTCTTCTGTCAGGTAACAACATCCATATACAATCTTATATTGGGAAAGCTATACTGTGATCACTACGGGACAATGCGTATACAGGGGAACCGCAACTATTCATGTAAGCTCAAATTCAAGGAACAGTCTATCATAGACCGTAATCCTCACCAGGTGCTCTCTCTCTCTCTGTGTCTCTCAAACACGGACACACACACACTCTTTCATGTCTGTTCGGAAAGTAATAATCTTCATTCTTGTTTCTATTAAAATGACTTGCTTTGAATGGTAAACGTCTCTGTATACTGACATTGTCTTTCTATATGAAATGAAGGGTTAACATTATACGATAAAACAAACTTGAATAGAATGGTATGTGATAATGAGGCAATTATCAAGAGGAGGAGAATGAGGAATGAATAAAGAGTGATAAACAACTGATGCACTGTCACCTTATTGGGGATTGATCTAAAAAAATTTTCCCTTGATTTCTATAGATGTCTTGTTAAATGTAATCTACAAGGGGCATTTTCCTAGTTGTGGCAAGCTCAAAGTCCTTAAATCCCAATAAATACTGTGTCTGTGCTTCTTATGTTCCTTTCCTTTGTGAGAGCTTGGAAAGAATTTGTCATTTTTTTTATTTATAAATATCTCCGTTTATGCTGCTTTTAGGTGGACTAGAGTCCCCCATCCGCATTCCAGTCCTCTTTTTCTTTTCACAATTGAATATCTATGGTGAAGTTTAAGATTTCTCCTTGGGATATTGTTTGTGGGGATCTATCTGTACATTGCTTTGAGATAGCAGAGAAATTTTACCTGGATTGGAAAAAAGAGATGTGAAATATGTTGTGTAACTATGCCTGCATAAGATCCAGAAAGACATTTGCCCACAAATAAACTAGGTTATTGTGTCTGTTGCCTTCTTTCCAAATTAATCATGATGTTTTATGATTTAAATGAATTTGATTTGGGCTGAAAAGTTGACAAATAGTAGAAATCTGCTTGGTAAATATGATACCTATAAAGACCATTATTCAAACATAATTCACTTAAACGTATGGTATTCTGAATTTGTTTTGCAGGTACAGGGAATAGTTCAGGATAAGAATGGGAAAACCATAGCAACGCTAATTGGGAAATGGGATGAGGGCATGCATTACATGAATGGAGACTGCTCTGGAAAGGGAAAAGGACATGACTTGTCAGAAGCCCATTTGCTTTGGAAGCGGAGCAGACCTCCTAAGTTTCCCACTAGATATAATCTGACACGGTTTGCCATCACCTTAAATGAGCTCACTCCTCGATTGAAGGTGACTGTAATGACGAGTTTGCTGCTATTTTTCAGTGAGATGATCTTTTTCTTGTGCTACCTTGTGGAATAGTTACTGGAACTAATGTGAAATTAGTCATTTAGTCCCCATTGCATGTTGGTGCACAAATTCATCCTTAAAGTGCTTACACACGTGTGTAGCCACCAAAATGATTTTTGGTGATTGAGATTCTATAAATGTTCATGCAAATGAAACAAGTTTGGAATCATTTGAAGCATTATACGTGAGAATAGTGATTGTTTTCAGTTGGTCATTACAAGTCCCAGTCTCTGTTACATACTAAACTTAATTTTTATGCAGGAGAAGTTGCCACCAACAGATTCAAGGCTGAGACCTGATCAGAGGTGCTTGGAAAATGGGGAGTATGACATGGCAAATTCGGAGAAGTTGCGGCTGGAGCAGCGGCAGCGGCAGGTAAACTTTGTTTTTTTTTTTTTGAATTCTTGAACTAATGCTTTGGTTTGCTCCTTAATGCATAGCCAAATTTGCAAGGTAGATAATGTGGTGTCTTGTGATTAAACTGGATTTTTTTGATGTTTGAGGCATATAAATAGGTTCTATGTCCTCTCAAGTAGTAGCTTGGAATTTGTTGGCTACGTAGAACATATAGTTTAGACATTAACTATGATTGATAAGAGTTAATTATGAGTAAATTGTGAAGCCAAATTACATGATTGTACATATGTACGTTGGGGTTGGTAGCTTTATTGGAGAGTCATATTGAGAAATGCTTTTAGCCTTATCAAAGATTTGGGACAAATTCAAACGGTGGAACATTGTAGCGAGTTGTGTAATTTGAACTTGTTCTCATTCAAACAAAATATCCTTGTGCTCGAACATGCAAGGCTCTATTCTGATGTGCACAGAATGTAACTAACCAAAATCAAAGGCCCAAAAACCAAAGGGTTTTTTTAGTCAACCCTAATAGTTAAGCTATCCTATACACCAAAACTAAGTTATGGTCAAGATTTCAATAAAACTAGTCCCAAAAGACTAAACAAAGATAAAACCCTTTATATGATGCTAACGCAAATGCATGAGTTTTATATGATGCTAATGCAAATGCATGAGTTTTACTTTGAAGCTCATCTGTTTACCTGAATAAAGCTTAAAGTCGAAGGCGTCCACGATGATTATTCAATAAGCTAAAAATAAAAATTATGAAACAAAATTATCAAAAAACAAAATAAATAATAATGATATAACTGGACAGTTTTCTTCACCTTATATTTTAATTAAGTAATTTGAAATTTGCATGCATTCATGCTTGATTTCTTTTTTCCTCGTGTAGCTTATTGAGGGGTGTATTTTCTTCAACAAATTATAAATTTACAAATGTTGCTGTGAATGATGGAAATTTGTTTGAATGCAATCCAGGCTCATAAGATGCAAGAGAGTGGTTGGAAGCCTAGGTGGTTTGCGAAGGAGAAAGGAAGTGATACGTACCGCTACATTGGTGGTTATTGGGACGCTAGAGAGAAGCGAAACTGGGAATCTTGTCCTGATATCTTTGGTCATTTCCTGTCTGATCAGACATCGGATTGATTGTTGTCTGTATATCATTTTCTTTGTATTTCTCCTCTTTTCTTTCTTCGACAGATTAGATAGGCGGCGAATGATTGCCTGCTGATATGAGGAACTTAGGTTGATGTAAACATGCGTGTAAGTAAAACTAGAGACAGAGGTATGACAGGTAATAAAGGATCGATTTCCCAATTTCATGACTTGCATTTGAACCTTTATGTTATTGAACTGCCTTTGGTAGTTATTAACTGAAACTACAGACTTAGAAGAACGTGTGTTGGTAGTTATTAACTGAAACTAGAAACTCAAAAGAACGTGTGTGTGAGAGAGAGGGAGAGAGAGAGCGCTTGATCTTATTGTTTTACGTGTGTTGGTAGTTATTAACTGAAACTACAAACTCAAAAGAACGCGTGTGTGAGAGAGAGGGAGAGAGAGAGCGCTTGATCTTATTGTTTTGGGCGAATTGGTAGTTATTAACTGAAACTACAAACTCAAAAGAACGCGTGTGAGAGAGAGGGAGAGAGAGAGCGCTTGATCTTATTGTTTTGGGCGAATTATATTAACCGTCCTTATAGTTTGAAACTCGTGTCACTTTTAGGGGTAAAGTTGTCAATTTGATAATATATAAATTAATTTGACAAAAATAAATGTTAAAAAAATATTTTTGAATTTTTAAAAATAATTTCTACTCTCCAAAGATAAAATTATGTAAAATTGATTAATCTTTTAGACATTTTTAAATATTTTTTTTTTACCAAATTGATTTTTATTGTATTTAGATGATGATCATGTAATGAGTGGTTGTTAAGTTTTAATTATGTAAAATTAAGTTTTTTTTTTTTTTTTTTTTTTTTGGGGATTTTTTTTGGGAGGGGGGGGTTCACAGAAGGCTCTAAATCTCCCTCTCTAGAATATGTCCGTTGAAGGAGAAACTGGATCCCATGGGAGATCGGTTGAAGAAACCGATCATCTTAACTGCAGCACAAAGAAAACCAAGGGTTCGGGGGAGATAGACGATGACAATATGGGGGAAAACACTGTAGATCATGAAGTAATTAACATAGATTGTGCGAAGGGTAGTAATACCGCGGATGATGCCATGGTGGATACCATGAGAGCAACGCCACCATCACAGAGGCCAACCGTGTAACGGGACTAAGTCTGATGCAACAAGGCGGCGTATTGAAGGTCAACGCTGTTGACTCCAGCTCTCGATCCTTTAAGCAAGCTCTCCTCCGATCTCGATTTATCGAAAACCCAAATGAAAAGAATTTCGAAATTCTTGAGAAGGATTCGGCTAATTTCCCTTCGGATGAGGAAGATGGAAGCGAGGAGGAAGCTGAAGAGGAGATCATGGAAGAATCTGAGGACTTACAATGTCAAATCCCTAGAATTCGGGTGCCTGCTAGACTACTGAAGAAAGCTCGAAAACCTTGGGGCAAATGCCTCATTGTAAGACTGCTAGGTAAGACAATTGGTTATACTCTATTTGTAAACAAGATCAAAAAGGTTTGGGGACTGCAAGCTGATTTCGAAGCATTAGATATTGAGCATGGATTCTTTATTGTAAAATTCGACATGATAGAGGATTACTCGAGGGTCTACACAGGGGGACCTTGGGTAGTGATGGATCATTATGTTACGGTTCGCAAATGGCAACATGATTTCAAACCGGATGAAGCAGAGGAGGATACTACAGCCATATGGATGCGTTTCCCAAACCTCCCAATCGAATACTACGACGATCAAATCATATTTCATGTTGCTAAGGCGTTTGGGTCTCCGTTGAAAGTGGATATCAACACTGCTATGGCGGCCAGAGGCAAACATGCCCGGGTTTGCGTTGAAATGGACCTGAGAAAGCCACTGATTTCCCATTTTACAATAGGTAAATATACATACACTGTGGAATATGAACATCTTCATTCATTTTGTTTTTCTTGCGGCAGGGTTGGTCATCGCCTGGACAAATGCAACGATAGGTGGCCTTCGGCGCCGATGACGAAGCACCAAGACATTACCATTGTAGGTGAGACAGATCAAAATGGACTGGGCCTATCAAGCAGTATCAATGACAATGTAAGTGCAGCCAAAGAAGGCCAAGACCATCCTAGTTATGGCCCATGGACCAAAGCTCCTAGCAGGAAAAGATGGCACAAGCCTAATAAAAACCAAAGAACGGACTACACGCAGCACAATAGATTTGGAGCACTTCAACAAGATCCTAGCCTGGTGGAGAATCAAGAGACCCAAGTTAGACCTGAGACTGTCTTGCGTGATACTAATGGGAAAGGGCCCAACTTCAAGTATAAAGAAAAGGCCCAAGCAAGTAAAGGAAAGAAAACCAACACTTTGAAGGAAATAAAATAATCAGGGGTGAGGATAAGGGGAAAATCTGGAGAGGGAAACAAGTAAGCAATGGCAAGCTACCACATGATGAATCTGTCAGTGGCCTTGAGGATAAGTCCATTAATAACATTTAGCTTTGTAGCTCAAAACCTACTACCATTACCATCCCCCCTATTTCGGTTTCCAATCCATCTCCCACACCTGAGTTAAGTTCTGTTGTTGACCCTTTGAAGAAGCTTAGCCCTAGATTACCACCTGATAAGGATGGAGGACTGGACCAACAAGCTGCTCCCGAATTTAAATCAAGAAGAAGGTCAACTGAGCGTGAACCACCATCGAGTGTACTTAAACCGGGTTCTTCTGATGTTGCAACCAGGGAAAGAAGTGTGTCACCACTTAGACTTTGAATGGTGGATCGAAGAAGTGAAGGTGATAATCAAACCATGGTGGCAGATCGATGCACACATCAACCGGCACATCGTCACAGTACATGCAATGAAGTCAATGGATGAGAGATATAATGAGGTAAGGGCTTTATTAGGGGTCCCAAAAAACTCCTATTTACCTGATTTTCATTATATGTCATCTATGGATATGCTTTTCTGGAATTGTCGAGGTGCGGGTAACAATACATTCAAAAGAACTCTGAAAGAGTTAGTGAGGACTCATAAGCCAGAAATTTTGGTACTTATGGAAACTAAGGTTGAGTTAAATTCCATGGGCATGTTTTTTAATAGAATGGGGTTTACGGCCTCAGCCCATATTGATCCTGTTAGCTGAAGTGGGGGCATTTGGATGTTATGGAACCCATCTCAGGCTAATGTGCGAGTCTCGGAGGCAAATTCCCAGATTATTACCGCCACTGTCTCAAGACAAAACTACTCGATTGGTTGCTGTCTGCTGTTTATGCTAGTCCAAATGTAAGGAAAAGAGAGGATTTGTGGCAGATACTGGAACAAACAGCCTAGCAGAATGATGACCCTTGGCTTGTTGCAGGAGACTTCAATGACTATAGTTCTCCGGCAGAAAAAAGAACAATTTCTGGAACCTTACTAAACAGCATTAATCAAAGCCAAAGGAGGTGCCAAAAATTTGTGGAACGAACAAATAGTTGTAACTTGATGGACCTCGGATGTGTGGGTCCTAGGTTGGCTTGGACTAACAACAGAAAATGATGGGCTAATACTATGGTTCGGCTGGATAGAGCACTGTGCAATTCTGAATGGCGTACCCTTTTTCCGGATGGATGTGTCCGCAACCTACCACGCACTTACTCTGACCACTCACCATTGATGGTTCTCACACAAGGTATGCACCATTCTAATTCTCTTGTTAAACCGTTTCGTTTTGAAGCTGCTTGGATCTCCCATGGGGAGTTTCGTGATGTTGTATCTGCTAACTGGAAACATCCATATCCATCCTTGGCTGCTAATTTGAAAGGGATGGCTAATAGAGCTTTGGAGTGGAATAAGGATGTTTTCGGTAATATTTTCCGAAGAAAAAGATGGCTTCTTGGGCATATTGAAGGAATTCAAAAAGCCCAGGCCAATAATTTTTCTCATAATCTGTGTATTCTCGAGAAAGAGTTAATTTCTGATTACAATTTAGCTCTTTATCAAGAGGAGCTGTTATGGTTCCAAAAATCTAGATCCAACTGGATTACTCAAGGGGATAGAAATACTAAATATTTCCATGTTTCCACCATTATTAAACGGAGGAGGTTGAAAATTGAGATGCTCAAATCTGACAATGGTGAGTGGGTGGACCAAATTCATGATTTAAAAGTTTTAGTTCAAAATTTTTTCATCAACCTTTTTCAGGCCACTCCCATTGTTAGACTTGACCACTGAAATGGGTTAACTTCTTGCAAACTTACGGATGAGAATAATAATGAGATTTGTAAAAGGGTCACCAATGCGGGGATTTGGAGTGCAGTTAAGAATATAAAAGCTTTCAAAGCCCCTGGTAGTGATGGATTTCAAGCTATTTTTTATCACACTTACTGGGATATTGTTGGCCCCTCGGTGTGTAAGTTTGTCCAGCATTGTTTTCATACCAATTCTGTCCCTAGAGAAATGAATCAGACCTTGATTGTTCTCATTCCTAAGGTTGAAAACCCTGTGACTATTAAACAGTTTCAGCCCATTAGTCTTTGTAATGTTACTTATAAAATCATTACTAAAATTATTGTGAGTCGTATTAGACCTTTTTTGGATAATATTGTTTGACCTAACCAAAGTAGTTTTATTCCTGGCCGTATGACCAGTGACAACATCATTATCACTCAGGAAATTATTCATACTTTGATGGGCAACAAGAAGGAAGAAGAAAAAAGGTGATTTGATTTTAAAAATTGACCTTGAAAAGGCCTATGACAATATCTCATGGGATTTTTTGCAACAAACTCTTCAGGAATTCAATTTTCATCCTAATCTCATTATGCTTATTATGAGTTGTGTATCTACTGTCCAATTTGCTATTTTGTGGAATGGTGAGGTTTTGGAGGATTTCACTCCGAGAAAGGGTTTGAGACAAGGAGACCCTCTGCCTCCTTATCTCTTTGTTCTCTGTATGGAACGTTTATCTAACATGATTTGCCACAAAGCTGCCCTTAAAACTTGGAAAGGAATCTCAATTGGTAGAGGAGGTCTGTGTATCACTCATTTGTTTTTTGCGGATGATCTACTTTTATTTGCCTCGGCGAACCCCACTAGTTGTAAGATTATCATGGAAACTCTTAATGAGTTTAGTGATATCTCTGGTCTGCAAGTTAATACTCACAAGTCCAAAATGTTTGTCTCTCTGAATGTGAATTGTAGCTATGCTCGCACCCTCAGTTCTTTGTGTG